ATTGTCCCGTAAACACGATTTTCAACCTTCCCCCAAGAACCACTTTACCCCCTCGTACTCTTAATTTCGTCGATTTACCCCCTTGTACTTGTACAATTTCCCAATACAACCCCTCTTCATCAACTTTTTTCGATTTTGACTATGACGCCATTTGGTCAAGAGTCAAAATATTGACGTAAATATTGAATTTTTTCGATTTTGACTCTCGAGATTAGAAAAGAGAAAGTTTCACACATTCATATATTTTTTTCTTTGCACTGGGTGGAATCGATCAATTTTTGGGTCTTGATTTTTACTAAGTTAGGGGTTCAATTTGGGGATATCTTGCAAGGGGAAGTGGTGGGAGAAGAAGAAATGACAATATTGACGGAGGAGAAACGACGCGTTATAGACAGTGGCAATTTTGTAATTTACAGAGTTGACCAAATGGCGTTAGAGTCAAAATTGACAAAATTTGAAGGAAAGGGCTGTATTGGGAAATTGTACAAGTACAAGGGGGTAAACCGATAAAATTGAGAGTACGAGGGGGTAAAGTGACTCTCAGGCAGAGTACGAGGGGGTAAAGTGGAATTTACCCTATAATTTTTGGTCTTCACTTGGGGAAACGTAAAATCGGAGATTTAATTTAAACCCCACTACTCTCAAATATCCCTTTTCTTTGTCCACTTCTATAATGTATTTGATTTTTTTTTAATTACCAAAAATAAAATAAATAAGGGTAAAATTACGGCCACACCCTTGAGGTAGGTTAAATTACGAAACCCCCTCCAGTTTGGATAATTACAACCACCCCTCTCAATTATGAATCTTCTTACACGTCCACCTGGTGTCAGATTCAACATAATCTTCTAGATTATGTGGAATGTTCTCTAGTTTGTACTTGTTTTGTGCAAAATAAAGTTTCTGATGCACAACAATTTGAAATTTACTAGCCAAGAGACACATCTTGTGATTATCTTAGCTTGTTTCAAAATATGAAGTTCGAATGGGGTAAACTGGGTACAAACTGGAAAATATTCCGCATAGTCTAGAAAATTCCACTAAATTTGACACCACAATGATAGATGTGAAGAAGATTCACAATTGATGGGATAATTGTAATTATCCAAATATGAATGGTTTTTTTTGTAATTTAATCTTACCGCAGGGGTGTCTGTAATTTAGCCTAAAATAAAATAATAATAATCCTAAAACCATCCATCCATCTATATTGCGTCATCCATTGGAAAATGTTCATATATTTCATTATTTATTATTCTATAATCAAAATTCAAAACTACTAGCATGAAAACCAATAGAGCCCATGCCCTAAATTTACTATATTTTAATTAATTACTTATATTTTATATTATTTACGAGGGTAGTGATTAGGTACATTTATTGTTGCCGTGAAGTTTTGCACTCATGACATATGCCAAAAGTTCAAAGGGTACTTTTCCCCCATTATTAAGGTTTTGTGTCATCATTATTGTGCCACATTTAGCTCTTTAAATAACTCTCTTTTATATTTTTTTTTTATTTTTAAATAAAATAAAATAAAATAGCTTCGAATTTCATATATTATCTTATCTTCCCGTGTCAAGAATATCAATCAACGACAACATTTTTCGTCTAACTATGTGAAAATAGGTGTTATCGATCACTCAAGATAATGTTTTTCGTACCGATAGTTATAACTCATCAATTATGCATGTTAAAAGAAAAATTAGATTAATTAATTAAATAAAAAATAATAAGTACTATCAAATGGGACAAAACGTAATTAAGAGTCCTCACGTGAGTGAGGATATAAATAACGTGGTCCACCTCAAAGAAACAATATGGAATTAATGGATAAATGAACTCATGATTTCCTAAGTTTATTTATTTTATTTTATCTTATTTATTATTTATTTATTTTAATTTTAAAGTCACTCATTAGTGTCCATACAAAATTATTGAACTGTCTAACTGAAAATGACTTGACATTAATCTGCAATTCCAGTTTAGTTATAGTAAGTAGTAAATGGATAAAAATGTTTCACTTTTTTACTCTAGGAAAGTTCATACATTATTACAGCATTTTCATAAAACAATTTTATTTTTTATTTTTTTTATTTACATAAATTACATATATATAAGTTGCTTTTGGATCAACCATAATGCATTGTGAACCATAGGGGTGTACCTGAGTCGAGCCACCTCGACGAAAGCTCGAATGCGTACTCGAATTTTTCGAGCTTGAGCTCGACCCCAAATACTCGAAGAGCTCGAGCTAGTCAAAATGGTCAAGCTCAGCTCAATCTCGCCTCGTTTACACACCTATTGTGAACTGGATTCTACTTTAATTTCACCCAAACACATCTCCAAATAATCCTGAAATGGGACCAAAATCATATTAAATCAAAAGGAGAAATATGAAAAAGATTTTCAAAAGTATATATAATGAGAAAAAGAAAAAAAAAAAACAATGAGCAATCACAAGAGACCAAAATGCAATGAACACACACTTTTATTTTCCTTTTTTGATTGAAACCTAACTAAGAGGACCCCATTTATCCCAATTCCAAAACCCTAATTTATTTCTACATTTCTATAATTTAAAATTTAAACATTTTTTTTATTATATTGGATATTTATTTGTCCCAACAAACAATTATCATGCAATCAAGACTTGGTGAAAGCTAGTGGAGTCACTTCTAAATAAACTTTACCAGTTATCAAGATTCAAGGGGCCAATCTTAATAAAAGTACTCAATTATTTGAAATCAATTTTAGTATAAATCAAACTTAAAAGATTTATTATTATTAATTTAACAACGACGAAGAATCGAAGATGTACATTAAAGAAAATATAAAATGTGCATAGATTGCGACGACGCCGTTCGACTTTTTCAATTAGTGAGACGAAATTCGTGCATTACTATTAAAACAAAACAAAAAAATTAAAAATTAAAATTTTTAGCGGGGTAAAAAAAAGAAGTTATCTTTTTTGCCTATTTATGGTTGATTTTAGAGTAATTATAAGGATGAAAATTTGAGTAAAATCCCCATTCATTCAGCTTTTGGGCAGGCACAGGACACAGCACATTTATTACAATCCCCAATTAATTAATTTATTAATTAATCCCAATTCAAGCAAAAAAAAAAACTAATAATAAATAATTAATTAATCACTCCATAAATCCAAATTGCAGATAAGCTAAAAACACACACACAAACACACGCACATGTGGTGTGGCCCCATTTTCCACCTTTGAGCTTCAACCGACCGTTACAGCTTACCAAAGCTTGACTGCTTTAGTACACAAAAGATTTTGGGACATTGCATAAGAGCAGCTGCCCTAGAGAGAGAATTCTAGAGAGAGAAAGCTTGTATATAAAAATACAATCTTTGAGGAGAGAGAGAGAGAGAGAGAGAGAGAATGCATTGAAATCTCTGCTGTGGTGAGGACTACAAGTTCGAATTATTCTTCTTATGTGTTTTCATTGCTTTATTTATTTATTTTTTCCTTATTGAAATACACATCAAACCATGTGTGTGTGTGTGTATTTATATATATATATGTATCTATTGCCGAGCTTTTAAAGATTGAATTTTTATCTGTTAAAAAAACAAAAAAAGATTGATTTTTTAATGTTAATTGTGTGAAGCCCAATTTGTACAGACCCGAGGCTGCAAGAGAGGAAGCACAAAAGTGAGTCATATATATATGTATGTATGTATATGTGTATGTATATTTGAGGATAGAAGTGTGAGGGGGAGAAAAAGCAAAAAGGGGGAAAGATGGAGGGCCTTCACACAAAGTCTTTTACACGTGATAAAAGAACACATCAAAAGCAATTTGCATGCGTGTATTATATATATATAAAAGATTCATATCACCACACCAACTTCACCTTCTTCATCCACACACACACACACACACAGACGCACTAAAAAAACACACACTTTTCTCTCTCACCAAAGAACCCATCTTTTTAAGTTCTTGATTAAAGCCCACCTCTTTATTTTTCAAAGGGTAGATTCAAAAGTGGATTTAATCAAATCGGTGAGTTTTAAAGTTAGAATCTTTAAGCATATATATATATTTTTTTTTTCATTATTAATATTTATTAGTGGAAGAAGCGTGTTTTGGTGTTAGCGTTTTATCAATCTCCTTGTATTGAGGTGTCATTTTCTTTGCAGCAGTGAAAATTTGGGTTGAGATGTTGATTTACCAGTGAGTTCTTCAATGTTTATTCCTTTTAGTTCTATGTTTATTTAATTATTTTTTATTTTTATTTAATTTTGCTTTTGGTTGCTCTTTTGTTGCTTTCTAGGCAAAATTTTATTCTCTTTCTTGAGCAGTCATACTTCTGTCCTCACATTTATTTATGCTTTTGTTGGGGGATTTGGATTTTATTTCACTAACATAAAAAACATATATATGTATATGCATGTGTGTATATATATAAAATAAATATATATAATTCTATATACATGTACTAGTGTCTTTACTCTCTTGGATGTGTATCTATAGTCTTGGTTTTGGTTAGGGGACAAATTGGAAGATGGTTTTGTCTTGTGGGTATTTCTACTATTTGATTAGATTTGCATTTCTTCTTACAAAAAAATTCCTATGTTTTTTGTTGCACATGAGTTCTTGATAATATATTTTCTTTTGTCTCTACTTAATTGTAGTCTTCTTCCCCTAAATCTGCACATTTCAAAATATCTCCAACCCCCAAAACCCTAAAATCTTCTCTTTTGTCAAAAAGATTGCATCTTTCATAAAAGGGCTTCCTTTTTTTTTTTTTAAATTTTTTTTTGGGGGGGTCTGAATTTTTTAATGTTTTTATTTTTCACCATCTTCCATCCGCGTTAGCGTCT